CAACACGTGCACGGAGGGTGGATACCCGGCCTACGTGGTGAATGCATCCACCGCAGCGCAGGTTCAACTGGCCGTGAACTTTGCGCGGAACTCAAATTTGCGCCTGGTAGTGAAGAACACTGGTCACGACTTTAACGGGAAGTCTACTGGGAAAGGCGCATTGTCCATCTGGACACACTGGTTGAAAGACAAGGCCTTTTACCCTACATTCGCAGCCGACGACGGGTATGTGGGACCTGCGATGAAGCTTGGGTCGGGAGTCCAGGCTTTTGAGGCATACGAATTTGCCAAACAGTCCAACGTGACGGTTATCGGTGGCGAAGGTGTGACTGTGGGCTTGGCCGGGGGGTATACCCTGGGCGGGGGGCACTCGCCATTGAGTAGTCTGTACGGCATGGCGGCAGATCAGGTATTGGCGATGCAAGGTGACCGACCTCCCACTGCCCCTTTCAACAACCATCAATCCTGACAAACGATAGTGGTTCTCGCGGATGGTCGTTTTATCACCGCCACTGCCAAGCGGCACGCGGACATCTACTGGATGCTTTGTGGCGGTGGTGGAAGCACCATCGGGGTCGTGACCTCCATCACCGTGAAAGCATATCCTCGGATCTCCGCGACCACCGTCACTTTCGACTTCTCGGTCGCCGACACTCCCGGTCCCGATGCGTTCTGGGAAGGGGTTGAGTCCTACCTCGATAACATTGAGCGATTGGTCGACGCCGGAACCTATGCATACTATGACCTGGGTGCGTCGGCCAGGGGACGAGGCACCAACTTCCCCGGTGACAGCGACTACTACCTGCGAATCCAATCCTTCCTGGCGCCAAACATGACCATTTCGGAGACGAAAAGGCTTCTTCAGCCGTGGTTCGACCGGCTTGACAGTCTAAACATCCGATACACTCCGCAATACAACCACGCGGATAACTTGTGAGTGGGGCATCGCGGGCATCGCGGGCATCATCTCCACTCTTTCCACTAACGCCGTCCGCAGTCACGACGCATGGAAATCTGCCTTTCCACAGGAATACATGGGTGCTGCGACGACGAAGATCGCCTCGCGTCTTCTCCCGCGCAAAGCATATCACGATGATGTTCTCCGCCATCGGAACTTCCTCGCGCATAAGGACGCGGTCGCAAAGGTACGCTACTGAGGGCTGCAACCCCCCGCCATTCTTTCCCCGACTCTGTATACTGACGTGACCCAGGGCTATTCCATCGCGGCCTTCCATCTCACCGGAAAAGGCAAACTCGTCGAACCGCCCCCAAACAATGCGGTGCTGCCCGCCTGGCGCGACACCCTGACGCATGCCATTGTCATCGGCCAATGGAACTCGACCTCGGACTGGAACGTCGTCGAGCAGACCTCCCGCACGCTGACGCAGTGGATGCAAGCCATGCGGGACCTGGGGGAGTCGGGGGTCTACATGAGCGAGGCGGATCTGCTGGAACCCGACCTGCAAAAGGCCTACTATGGGGTCAACTATCCCCGACTATATGCGCTCAAGCAGAAGTATGACCCAAACGGGGTGTTCTTTGCTCTCACCGCGGTTGGCGCGGAGGACTGGACAATCTTGGTGGAGGATCCTTTGCCGGATTCGTGGAATAATAACGGCCGACTGTGTCCTCGGAGGTGAACTATGGGGCGTATGAGATGGTATACAGGCTATTGGGAATCGATATGTGCGTCTGAAATGGGACTACAGCGGTGCCTGAAACGGGCTTGGTTGCACATGTCATAGCCTAGGAGTCGCGATGGTTCTAATCCTGATGCTCCTGTTATGCGTTAGTATTGTCAACTTTAGGAGCTGGCAATGGGGGTCTTTCTTCTCCATACTAGGGTTGCATATGTTGATTGAATGTGCTGGTTTGTAAGTGCTTCATAGCAAGTAATAAACCACGCTGGGGATTTTTCTGTCCTAGATTCCATGGGGCACAGTAACAGAGACCTTGCAGCTTCCGCATCAAGTGGAGGTACCATGCAAGCAAGCCAGCTCGGAAAGGTTCGTCTCGGCTTGAATACTAACAAGTAATCTAACACCCTTGAGCCGTGACTAAGATGGCTTCCTGCGGGTGTTGAATGCCGACAGGATAGACTGTCAATGGATCTATGGCTGAACCGGCAAATTTGACTGACCCTGCCAGACAGCCCTTGTCCCAAGTGGCCAGTTGCGATCCTCCGTGTCGCGTACGCAACCTCAGCGTGGGGTTAGGATGGGACTGACATTTACACGTGGTACTTGCTGAATAAGCATCGTTGGTCAAACGGTTACGATTCTTGTCTTCCAAACAAGCGGCCCGGGTTCGACTCCCGGACGATGCAATGGTTTTTGCCCTCGGCTTGTGCAGATCGTCCAACTGTCAGGACACACGCACTCAACCTTTTTGCTTTTGCTTTTCTTTGACCTACTCAGTAGCACTCCGCTTGTAACAAGATTGAGATAGTTTGTCCGCCATCCAATGCACTCGTCCGACCTGGTGTTGAGCTACGAACTCCAAGCCGTGACCGGCCCGCGAGGCGGAAAGATACCAGTATATATAGTGCGAATGAGGCCATGTGTTGACAAACGGCGGGCGATTTCAGCTTGTCCTCGTTTTAGATTATCATATATTACACAAAGCATAATATCCTGATAACAAGCTGGCCGGATGGTGTAGTTGGTTATCACGTATCGTTAACACCGATAAGGTCCTGGGATCGAGCCCCAGTCTGGTCATGACTTCTTTTTGCATTCAATTATACCCGTATGCAGTAAAATACTTACAGTCACTGTTGACTTTTTGAGTCTCAATTAAAAGGGAGACAGACCTCAGCATATGTTGAAGATTGAAGTTGGTAGAGGAAAGGCGTGCAGTTCAATCCCGCGCCGATAGTCCACGAGTACCGGCCTTCGTAGTTACCCACAATGGTCGTGGTCCACCCACATTCTTCAACCACTGTTCGTATAATTGCATTGGAGAGGTCTGTACGAAAACTAGCTCTTGATCTCTCATGGCCGCCCAGATTCTACGACCATTATTGGCGCAAGTTCGGAAGGACGTGGATCCCATCTCGTCGCCGTCGTCCGACATAATTCGCATACTGCGGCAGCAACACCAATAGCCATTTTATGCAGTGCATTGACCTTGCCCCTCTATAAACGACTCAGCAGAGCATCATCCGATCCCTCCCCAATGGCCTCCACCAGCACACCTGCCACTCGGATCGGCATGGACAGAAAAGGCGAGTGCGATGCAGGAAGACGGTATGTGTTTTCCGGACCCGCGACCTTTGCGGCAAAACCCTCCTGGAAGACCGGCGGCATGGCCTGGTCTTGCTCGCAGATCACGTATGCACAGGGGATCTCGCTACTCCAAGGTTCATGCGTCACCTTGCCTGCAAAGACGGCGCGGGAGGTGTGTTGCGTGAAGGCATTCCATTGAACCTGCTCGTCGAGCGGGAGGTCTTGCCAGCCGATGTTGTTGGAGCTATCGATATGCACATAGTCGCCCTGGAATTGCAGAAATCAGCTTATGTAGAAGGTTCACACGTGCCATGCGCAGCATCACTCGTGTGAGATTGACTTGCACCGTCGGCTGTTGGGGACAGCCTACGTTAGTAGGGTGATGGGCGACATCCTTCCACCTGCATCCAGGGCAAAAAGCTCCCGCCCAGCATCTCGAGTAGACTTTGCCCGCGATCGAGTGCAAAAGGCGGCGAGATAGATCACTTGAACAACTCCGCCGGCCTGGCCGCTCTGCGCACGTGTAGTCTTACTCAAGCCATCCACTGCGTTAGAGGCTACCACACCGCCGTAGGAGTGAGCGACAACGACAATGTCGTTCTCGGCGTCGGCGAGATTGATCAAGTGTCTTCGGAGAGAGGAAACATCATTCGACGACAGGGTCTTGGAGGGAGGCTCAGCTCCGATTGAAGGATGGGCTGGACATTTGGATGCAAAGCCGAGATCTTGGAGCTGAGCTCGAAGGGCATGGAAGAAAGGGGGGGTGATCCAAGCCCCAAGGGAGAAGACGATGACCGGGGGGTTCATTCTGCGAGTGTAAAGAAAAGAATTTCGGAGAAAGAGGCAGGCGATCAATAGATCAGAGGGGGAAATTGCCCCGGCCGGTGGTGCTGGTCTATTATAACCCGGATCCCCCCCCCCGGGCAGGGGCCGTGAGACCAAGGCACGTTGCCAGCTGTTGGAAGGAGGAGCTTTATTATGATGCGCCCATCTCATGACTCGCGTTCGCGCACAGCACACGGCCTGGTTGGTTGCTAACGAACTGGATTACCACGGAAATCGAATAAATTTTCCTTTCTGTTTTAGGCTGAAGTTGGCGCTGCTATTTTACTTTCTAACAACCCGGAGTATGGGAAGAGTATAAAATTATATATCCTAAGTAATTTTTAAATAATCCTAGATTACTCCGGGAGTAACTATTAGAAAAGTAACTATTGCTCTAACTATATATCTAAGTTTATATAATCTAATTTTACAATCTAAATAAGATATATACTATTATTATTTATTTTACTTTTTATCTTAGCTGGTATGCCTGTTATTCTTATGGATTACGAAAGAGTTATGCAGAGGGCAATCGGATGAGTCAGCTTTTCCGTGTGTCGACCCCGTGACCCTGGAACAATTCCGATAAACAATTCAAATAGGTCAAATAAGTTAAACAGTACAAACAACAACCACCACCACAACCACCAACCATCACTTAACTACCTATATCTAACCTTAAGTTAGCTACTACCACGGCTTCTGTTAATCTCTACATCCACTAATCTTGGAAACCGAAGCGGTCGTATCATTTCATTCACAATTCCAAACCTAAGACTCATCGGAACATTCCGACGCCGCTGTTCCGTCTAGACCAGCAACGGCCCTGCCCCCTCGACTATATCGATTTGATGGAATGTCCGACTTGTGGAATCGATCTTGCGAAATGTCCAGTTCTTGTATCTTGAGTGACCTGCTCGACGGAATCTGCTACACCTCAACACCAAGATGGAAGAGTGGGATATCAGCAAAGCGCCTGCTCCTCTCCCAAGCATTAACCTCACTCGACTCGGCCCAGGGATCTCGTTCTTGCTGCCTCTGTCGCGGAGAGGACACGGCCCAGGGTTAATCCTTCTGGTGCCCAACACTGATCACTCTCTGGACATCATCGATGGAGTCCCATCACCCCTGATCAAATGGGCGGAGGAAGGATATTCGGTTGTTGAAGTCCAAGAACAAGCTTTGGCTGGTGGTAATGGTCACGATGCATTTACCATCGCCTTGGACACTCTGGCAGCTAGCAAAGACTGTGACAATGGAAAGATAGGCTTGATCGGTATGTCGATCTCCCCTTCCGTGAAACAAGGAGGTCGACTCCTGACCTGGGGGCAAAGTGTACGACCCTCAACTGTGGACTTCTGTGGCCACCATCGTCCCTGGCCTCCCGAGCATCGTCGCGACTGTGATATATGGAGAGGCTGGGGCTACACTGCCAAGGGCCTGTACTCCGGCCGCTCAGCCGATTCTCTGCCACCTTGCGGGAACAAGACCCAAGACTCAGAGCCGCCAGACCAGCCAGACCAGCCAGACCAGCCAGCCCTCGGAGTATTACTACCCCACCGCCAAATCGTTTTCATTTGCCACGCCCTTCACCGACGACTTTCTGTATGGCCCGGAGTCTATTTCTCATACTCGCAGTCTGTCTTTCTTAAAGCCTTTGATGGCAGGCCCGTACTTTGATTTGGAGACCATCTGGGATGAGCACACCTTCTATGAATTCACCGACCGAAGTGTGGAGCACACTATGAGTACCATGGTTGCTCAGCCTTACGTGAATCACGTTCCGACAGTGAGGATGCTAATCTCTCCTGCGAAAGCCTCTTCGGCTGAACTTAGAAAGAGACTGATATCCCTAGCTTACCGGCGGAATTGGTCGCGAATCTCTTACTCACTTCTACCGGCACAATTTTATCTTCAACAATTCCGCCGATACTGAGACAGAGTTGATCAGCCGAAGCCTCGGCATTGACCGCGTCATCGATGAGTTCATCTTTAAGTTCACGCATGACCGGGAGCTGGATTGGCTGTAAGTCGTTCAATTCAACTTTCATACCCCAATTCGCTTCCAATCCCAGTTCCACTACGTCTACTCTAATACCGATCACTAATCCTCGGGACGCAGTCTGCCCGGAGTGCCCCCAACGCACAAACGCGCTGCAATCCCCTTCACGGCGGTAGTGAATATCCGTGGGGATCGACTGTACCACGAACACATTTCATGGGATCAAGGTACCGTGCTCGCACAACTCGGGCTTCTACCGGATTATTTGCCCTTCCCCTGTCCTTTGCCAGATGGTCGGAGGGTTGAGTACCGCGTGCCAGTGTGTGGGATAGGCACGGCGGAGAAATTGCGAGATCACACGGCGGTCCCTTCGAACCAGCTCTTCGAGTATAAGGTGCGGGAATACTTGGAAGAGCCGTGAATCACTGTGTTTAAAGAGCAGCGCCCTATACGGGAAACTTATGCCCAATTATCAACCTTCCACGTCAGTAGATCATGATGCCAGGGTTCTTAAAAATGACTTGGTCTACTCTCTAATGGATAGGCAAGATAGCGAAATGCGCAATGCGCGTTGCTTTCATAGATCGCACTATCTCGCATATTAATAAAGTGGGCTACGTCACAATGGTTGTCTGCATAGCACATCGGGGCCGACTTCTTCTTCATTGGCACTGGAGGCAAGCTCGCGATGACCTAGTGGATGGTATGTCGGGACTAATGGCCAAGCACCAAATCAGCCAGATTTTGAACCCGATACGCTTTTCAGCAAATCATCGACTCTGCAGCATCGGAGGAAACAAATGGTCGATGGTAACAGAAGACCAATCCACCCCTTCAAAGCTTCGCACGGCTGTCTAGCCTATCCATCTTTGCGTGAGTACTAACAATGGCCCTGTAGTTCGGAAAAAGGCCTTGTGGGTCGTACTTCTCGCGGATCTTCATGAATTTTGCGAGCGCGGTATCACTCAGAACCCGAGTCTGTGTGCAGTGGTCAGTTTCTGTAGCTAGGCAGGCTAAGGCCAGACAAAACGTACATTGGCAGTCTCGTTGTTCACATCAATCTCGGTGATATACTGTCCCACAGCGACGGGGAAGGCTCGCTGGTAGCGGACCCGCATGTGATCCCAGAGGGCGGGCTTCGATTGCGCCTCGACCGAGCCAGTGATCGTTGAGATATACAAATCTTGCGGCAGGCTCAAGGCCGCATCTTCTTCATCTGGGACAATGTCACAGAAACAGGCGAAGACACTCGAGGTCCGGGTGGGTAGCTCAAGCATGGCCGGCTTGATCGCCTCGAGCAACTGGAGGGACAGCCGTCAGCTGGGTACGGCTGAATGAGCACCCCAATGTCTTCACGTACCTTTCCTACTGGACAGCTTGGGTCATTCATGATGGAGTTGATCTGCCATTTGTCTTGGCGATGGTTTCCTAAGAAGCCGCGTTTGCGGGCAAAGACCTCCTCGAAGGTTCTCCGCTGTACAGGCTTCATTTCCAGCAGATGTTCCCGGACAGTGTCGGGGATCGCATCCCACGCGCTCATCAGCGTCCGGGCTTCGAGAACGGTGTCAGTATAGCATAACAGATTGAGGTTGAGATGCAATTTCGCGCCCGCCGGGATCTCGTCGGAGTCGTATTGGGGATCGTACTTTTCCGGGTAGTCAATAGTGATATTGAGATCGGTTCCGTACTTGGGGGTATGGCGACCTCGCTCGATGGTCCAGGTCATTAGGGGCTCGTAGCTGTGATCATCGATCTCAAACTTGAACGTGCGTTCCCACATCTTGGAGGCACGGATGGTCCGCCCCCAGAAACGCGTGATAACGCCAAAGAACCCCAAGCCTGAGCCACGGGCTGCCCAGAAGAGGTCTCGATTCTCAGTCCGACTCGCGATGAGGACGCGCCCATCGGGGACGACGACCTCAAAACGCTCGATCCAGGTCTGGCTGGTTGCTCCCCAGCCGCGGACAAACCATCCTTGGCCCCCAGCGAGCATGAACCCGCCTGACCCGACCGTGGGTGCATGTCCGTGCGGAAAAAACCGTTGAACCGATCCCAGTGTCGCGGCCAATTCCTCCACGCGCGAAGAGGGTCCAAAGCAGATCTCACGGGTCACGGGGTTGTAGTCAACGTGGCGGTTGAGGTTGACGGTGTCAATCAGGATGCCATCTTCGATAAGGTTGCCTAGGTTCATGATATGACCCGATGATCGAATCCCCACGGTTGTTCTCAGCTCAGAGGCCCGCTTGAGACTCGCAGCCACATCGGCGGCGGTTTCCACCAAATGGATCTCGCGCGGATAGCGAGCTGGGGTCTCGGCGGTTGGGTTCATGCGCCGGCATCGTTCGTACGCCGGTGAACCACGGTGAAGGACTTTCTCACTGCCATAGTCAGGCGTCGTGCTGTATCTGGGTTGCTGCTGAGACATGACTGTAACGTAACTTGGTGAGGCAGGGAGTAGTTGGGAATATACTGAGGGTCCAGGCGGAGCACGGAATAAGGCTTTTGTTCTCAAGCTGAGCTATGTTGAGTCGGCCACAATGCTGCCATTGCTGACAGGCTAGACTATCGGAATTGAAACTGTGGATGAGGAGGTGGATAGTGAATCGGAATGCGGAAGCCCTAAGAAAGCCGCGGACATTGCAATGCGTCGCCTTGAGAATCAGGATATTCATTCATTGAACAACTCATCGGAATCTGCGGAACCCTTCCCCTCCTTCAAAGTCCTGTCCACGGACTCGTGCGCGGTGACATGCGGGTTGCATTGTCCGATCCAGGTATTTAGGTGAAATGCCTTTACAGAGAGCAACCGTACTATTCGGAGCTCACATCGTCGACATCCAACAAGATGACTAGAACAACTCCAGAAATTGACCTCATTGTCGTTGGGACAGGTAGGCCTCTCTATGTCACCCTCTCCACCTAGGACAGGAGGACCAAGTTTCGAGTTTGCTAAACCCTGGTTGTATTATTTAGGATGGTTTGGTTTGTCTGCTGCGAAGCACTACATTCAGCTGCATCCTCAGGACCACATTGTAGTCCTCGAATCAGCTGGCTCGTGTGGAGGTACATGGGCACAGGAAAGACTCTACCCTGGACTCAAGTCGAATAACATGGTGGGCTCTTACGAATACCCCGACTTTCCGATGTCGGAAGACGTCTATGGGGTCAAGGCCGACAACCACATCCCCGCGGCCACTTTACATCGGTATCTGACTGACTACGCCAAACACTTTGGAGTCTTTGATCGAGTTCAATTCCACACACGGGTAACAGCAGTGCAGCCACGCTCAGAAGATGATGGGTGGAGACTTCATGTTGCCTGCTCGAACGACCCAGTCAACTTCACGACGACCATTGAAACTAAACGACTGATTCTGGCCACCGGCCTCACCTCTTTACCAAATATGCCCTCGTACTCTGGCCAGGATACCTTCCACGGTCCTGTGTTCCACGCCAAGGATTTCAAACGCGAGGCAGACACGTTGACAAGCTGCACAAGAGTCGTCGTGGTCGGGGGCGCCAAATCGGCCTTGGACGTGAGCTATGCATATACGCAGGCTGGTGTGCAGGTCTACCTCATCATTCGGCCCGATGGGAATGGACCTGTCTGGCTGGCAAAGCCGTTCGTGACCCCCTTCAAGAGAAAGATGGAGGAACTACTTCATACCCGCTGCCTGACATGGTTCTCTCCGAGTCCCTGGCAAGATGAGGATGGCTACTCGACCGTGCGCTCGTTTCTGCACGGTACCAAGTTGGGGAACCTCCTTGTGAACAACTTCTGGTCCATTCTTTCTGCGGATATCATTGAATCGAACGGGTATGAGGACCATCATCACCCCTCGCTGCGCGCACTGAAACCGTGGTACTCGGCATATTGGACAGGCTCGGGTGTCTCCATCCACAATTTTGATACCAGCATCTTTGATCTGGTCAAGGAGGGCAAGATCTGCATCCATACGGCGAATATCACTGAGCTGAGCCCCCGCCATGTACACCTGAGCACTGGGGAGACGCTCCAAGCAGATGCAATTGTCTGTGCTACTGGCTGGAAAAAGGGCTCCGCCATTCAATTTGTGGATGTCGATTGCCGGCCTGTCTCCGATCCCGCCGAAATGGATCGTCTTCTCCGCCTCGCCGATGATGAGATCCTCTCGCGCTTTCCAGGTCTCAAGTCGCAGCCTTGCCTTCGGACATCGGGCGGAGCGAAGCACCAGCAATCTAATCCCTGGCGACTCTACCGATTCATGGTGCCCCCAGCCCTGTGGGAAAGGCGCACTCTGGCTTTTGCCGGTATGGTATCCTCGGTCAGCACAGCCATCTGTGCCAGCCTGCAAGGGCTGTGGATTTCCGCTTACTTCGACGGAACACTGGACCGCATGCCACCCACCCAGCAAGCCGTCGTCCACGAGGCAGTGATCAACTCCGTCTGGGGTAAATGGCGGTATCCCTGTGGCTACGGAGAGGATGTTGCCGATTTCGCCTTCGACGCGCTCCCATACTTTGATCTGTTGCTGAAGGACCTGGGCTTGAAGCACCATCGGAAATCGTCGGCCACTTCCGAGCTTACTGAGCCCTACAAGCCGTGGGATTATCAAGACGTAGTGGAGGAGTGGAAACAGGGACATTGGTCACCTCGCCTTGACCCGCAAAATGATATTCCGCCAGTGAAGACTAACTTAGTTTGCCATTAATTCACTTATCGCCTTCAAGGCTCTTCAGTCTTGCAGGCGTTCCTTAGTCTAGCTCAATTGGAGACAAAATATCTATTATCTCCTTCTCACTGCATTGCGTTGGAGGGCGCGCCCATGGTTTTGCCTTATCTTCGTATTACTCCTCCATTTCAGGTTCTGCGCTGGACTGACGAGAACCGGCTGTTCTCCATCAACCAGGAAGATTACTAGTCGGTCTCTTGCTCTATGCTGGCTGTAGCGGTATCACATCCATGCCTCCTGTTACCGTGTCATCAGCTGGAGCGACTCGATGCCCTACTAGCTCGTTACAACATGGCTAGGTCGGTTTAGTGTCTATGGGAGGCACGATCCCTGACTCGTAAAAAGATGCACCTTCCAAGTCCATGCTTTCATGTAAATGAGGGTTTATCAGTCTAGATAGGTTACTGTTTTGGACTGCAGAAATTCGTGAAGCCCCCATTCCCCATTGAATCGACCCCAGCCGCTACTCTTTTGGCCCCCGTGGGGCAAGGCAGCCTCATCATGAACGCTCATCGAATTGATATGGATGGCGCTGTTTGCATCTGGTTAGTCAACAGTGAATAGGTTTGAGAGAAAGAAAGTGACGAGAGGCAGTCTCACCCACTATCGATGCGTCGTGCCAGCCTCAGTCCCTTCGCCAGATCTGCGGTAAAAAGCGAGCAGCTAAGGCCATACTCGGTATCGTTGGCCAAATCAACGGCCTCCTCCTCAGTGTCCACTGTGTAAAGTGATACCAACGGACCGAAAATTTCTTCATGGTAGATATCCATGCGCTTGTCCACGCCTTCCAGCACCATGGGTTGCAGGCGTAGTTGAAACTTCTCGCTCGACGCTGGACCACCACTCAGAAGACTGGCTCCTTTGGAGACCGCATCTTGGGCTAGTCTCTGATTCCTCGCTACTGCCGCTTGCTGAATCAAGATACAGGGCGTTTCGGCGGCGGAGTTCCAACGCGCGACTTCTTCCAGCAGCGCCCGACGAAACGGCTCCAGGATTTTGCGAGCAACAATAATCCGCTCAGTGCTCATGCAGGCCTGGCCCGAGTTGGTGAAGGCCCCGTTGATACATTCACGCGCGGCAAGTCGTATATCGGCATCCTCGAGAACAATGGCGGGGGTCTTGCCCCCCAGCTCCATCAATGCAGGCTTCAAAGACTTCGCTGCCTCGGCCGCGACCAGCGCCCCAACGGCCGAACTACCGGTGAAATTGACTTTGCGCACAGGAGGGGCACGGATCAAGTGGTTCGTCACCACACCCGAGTCCTCTCGAGTGGTATACAAGAGGTTGAGCACTCCAGCGGGGAGGCCGGCATCGTGAAAGATCTCGCCGATATGGTGAAAACACCCGGGACTCAGTTCGGATCCCTTCAACAGACACGTATTGCCGGCTGCGATCGGGTAGAGACAAGCGCGCACCCCGAGCAGGTAGGGTGCGTTCCAAGGTGCAATCCCCAGAACCACCCCATACGGAACGCGATACAGCAGCGCACTTTGCCCTGCCTCTTGAGGATGTGGAATCTGCCCCGTGAGCGTGTGGGCCAACCGTCCGCCCGCATCACGGAGCATTTCAGCAGCTGTGGCAGTGTTCATGCGCGCAAACTCAGCGCTGGTGCCTAGCTCCTCGCGGAGAGTATCCTCCAATCTCTCTCGTCGTTTGTCTACCAGGTCAGCCGCTGTCAGAAACACGTCCCGTCGAGCAGCGGGTTTGGTTTGCGCCCACGAGGGGAATGCCATGACAGCGCTGGCCAGAGCATCGTCTGCATCCGCCACTGAGGCAGATGAGCACTCATAGATGGGTTTCTCGGTAAGGGTGCTGCGAACAGGAAAGGTCTTTGCGGTGGTGCGAGTGGTCCCATTGATCCAGAGAGGGACCTGTCGTGGGACTCGGGAGGGGGATAATCCTGCCAGCTTCGGAGAGAATGACATTGCCGAGGTTAGGCTTTAGGCTGACCTAGCACCAGTTGCTCAGTCTGGCGCTGAGAAGAGCGTCTCGCCTGGTTTTTGGGCGGGGGGGAGAGGAGAGGGGGGGATGGCGATCATCCGCGAGTGAGTGATGCATCGTTCATCGGAATCATCGGAATCATCGGAATCTTCGGAACCATCGGATTCGTGGCAGGTTAGCTCTCAAAAGGGTGATATCCAGTCCAAACCACCATCTCCCCCCAAAGGCCTAATGTAGTGTGTAGCATTCGGTTGAGAAAGAGTCTAAGATTATCTCCTGATTCTCTATTCGCCATTGAAAGTCAAGCGCTGGGTCTTTTCGTTGTTGATCACTTACTGCATCGACTTTACCAGGCCGGGAGACGACTGAAGATAAGCATTGCGTAGCAAGACGGTAGCTTAGTGGGGCAAGTAAGATCGATTACAGACAGTTATGTACAGCCGCTAGCATGACTAGTACTGTACGTACAGCACCGGTGTCGTCAAAATGCGGGGGTGCACTGATCGTCCCACATATGGGCCATAATCTGCGATAACAACTCCCCCTTGAGCCAACTGGTCTCTCTCTTGCTTCCGGTTCCTTTCCCTACCACAACCTTCCTTCACCTCGCTCATCATGTCATCACAGACTCATTCAGCCCGAGCGGACCAGGAAAGAATCAGTCGCAACAAGCGTGCTCCTTATATCCAGCGCGCCTGCTTGACGTGTAAACGACGAAAACAGCGCTGTAGTGGGGATGATCCGTGCAAACACTGTGAGAGTCGCGGAGTCACCTGCCAATATGACTTGGAGCCGGTAGCTCGTCACCTACCCCCAGACTATCAGGGTACTCTGAGCAGGTATTTTCAAGCCCGGAGGAAGATAGGAAGACGACCGTGTGAGAGTTCTAGACGAGCACTAACAGCGGGCTCCTCGTTTCCAGCCAGGTCCATCGCTTGAGTGAGGTAGTTGAGTCCCTGCAGGCCGAAGTTCAGTCCTTGAAGGGATCAATAAACCATGGAGCCTCAGCAGCAACGGGCAAGCAGCGCACTCCGGACACTCCGGCCTCCGAGGAGTGTTCGGAGCCAGACTCCAAGCGCCGCCGATTCGTCACCACTATGGTCGTTTCTCCTCCGTCAACAGTGGGGCCCCGTTATCAAGGATTGACATCCCCCGAGTACAGTTTTGAGCTTGCTAGTCTGAAGCTGGCTCACTTGCAGGACCCTACTGCAGTGCCTGCCTCTCACCTCGATGCGTTCTACAACCGAGAAGATGAACGGCAAGGAAGGACGAGGTCCATACGAGAGGGTGAACCCGATGGTCCAGCTGCCTTATCCAAGGCCCACATCCAACCCGAGCACACGTCAGTTCGGGTCTTCCTTGACATTCCGTATACTGAGGCCAAGAGACTGGTGGTGTCGTATTCCAACACCGTGGGGCTGCTTCATCCGGTGGTGGATGTATCCGTGATTCTCTCACGTCTGGACGCACTGTATGCTCGCCTGAAAGACACTCGCCAGTCGACGAGAAGTCAGCCAGCTCTTTACGACGTGATCGTGATCCGTCTCATTTTGTCCATTGCCTTGCGCATGGAAGAGAACCAACAGACCGAATTGATTGCAAGCTGCTTCGAGGGCGTTGAAGATGAGCTAAACCGCATTCTGGCTTCTGAGCATATTAGTCTACGGGGCGTGATCCTTGTCCTGCTTGGTGTCGGTCCTCCCTGCACTCCTTCTTTGGACTTTTGGACTGTTACTGAAACTGATGAACAGGCATTGTATCACCTATTCTCCGGAAGTCTACGGATGGCGTGGAGGCTTGGAGGTGTTGCCGCCTCCCTAGCTTTGGAGCTTGGCCTCCACCGACCGATGACACTACAGAAAGCCTTTGGTGACGAGGGAGAGCAAGTAAAGGCGATGACCTTGATGTGGAGCATTTTTGTGCTGGACCATGAATGGAGCACGGCTCTAGGGCTTCCCCATCACATGGACGACGGGTCATTGGTCCCTGCACAGCTACACCCAGTACGTTATGCCCACCTGCCTGTCATGAAAAGAATTGGAGCCAGTGTGCTGATATTATTCTGGCCATGACTGCATAGGTCAAGACGCAATATCTCAAAGCGATGATGTCCTACTGTGTCATCAGTTCGAAGATCGTGAATGCGACTGCGGGTCTACCTGTGAACCCAGATCTGTACGATGATGAACAATTTCAATTTATTAATTATCAGATCGACCGGTGGCAGCAGTCCGCAATCGCCAAAGTCCAGTCTCTTTCCTCCCCAGTCCCCTCAGTCCCTTCAAGACCTGACAAGGCCTCCGATTTCATCCAAACGATGCTGAGTCTGCGCGCCAATCAGCTCCGAATCCTCATGCTTCGACCATTGTTCTTCCAAGACAGCCCCGTCAAGCCCAGTCAGGCGCAGATCTCGCAGGCAATCGACACTGCTGTACAGACTATCTCCATCCTGAAGCAGTTCGATGCACAAACCGATTTGTATCGCCGGCTGCACGCTCTTTTTAGTCAATTCATCGCCTCCGCTGCAGCCTTGATCTTACTCAGCATCACCTACACCTACAGCGCCCCCCTTGACAGTACGTCCAAGACCGGGTTTTCCAGCTCCATCACGCGTGACGTCTGCGTCCCTCTCAAAGATGTGCTGAAGCTAACCGACGCCTGCTCTGGACTATCACCAGCATGCGCTCAGGTCCACTGCCGTCTGCAACATATTCTCGGGATCCTGGTCCGTCTTCAATTCATCTCGATAGACGGCATTTCTGCTGCGCCGACCGAGGGGCCCGTCAATCCTACCAGTTTGCAGAACTCGGAGAGCTCCATGATTCCGAACTTCGCGGACCCCACTGGAGGTGACCCGAGCGAGTGGACCTTGCCATCGCCACAGGGAGCTGACCATGGGGGGTCAGATCAAGCGGACTTGTTGTTCGATTGGGCGCCACTGGCTTCGGACAATGATCCACCGCTGGATCAGCTCCTTGATGGCACGATCTGGACGGAGTTAAACAAGCTGCTTCGGCCTCATTTGCAACCCGAATCCGGTCTATCTGAGTTTACCAGTAGCCATCCTCTCTCCTCGAGTAGATCCCAGAATTGAACTCGTCGATGTTTATATTTGTGTACTGTGCTGTCAACTATTATTGTGTAAGGGTCCTACATTTCCAAACAATCGAGAAGATCCTTCGGTAAAATTAAAACTCATGCGGAACGATGGAAAATAGCTGGTAGATGATATCTGTGAGTAGTTTGGCCGTTCCGATGGATGCGGAATGGAGCCGAGTATCTATACGGCAACTACTGCTTCTGCTGCCCACTGCACCCAGGGCAAGCGGGAATATTTTCGTCCAGGCTGATTTCTACAGAAGTCAATTCTGCAACATGTTCGCGCGAACTGTGTCTGCAAAAGAAGTGGAAACTCATAGTCGGGAGACGGATATCTGGATTGTAGTCAATGGGAAAGTCTACGACGTGACTGAATTTGCCCCGACACATCCGGGGGGAGCCCAGAGTGAGGGAAGCCCTATCTACCTAGCATCTTGATCTTCCTTTCTCCTCTAACGCAACCGAACTTCCCCCCAGTCATCTACCAATATGCCGGCAAAGATGCGTCGGTGGAGTACAACAGCGCACACTCCTCCTCGCTAATCGCCACCGAACTCCACGGATCCTGCATCGGCGAGTTGGACACCTCTACCGTTCCCCCGAGCTGGCTGACCTCGGTCGCGACCGAGGCAGCCCCGACACACTCGCCCCAGACTCCTCGCCACCCGCCCCCTCTCAGCGAAGCTCTCAGTCTCAAGGACTTCGAGAAGATCGCCCGAGACCAGCTAAGCCCCAAGTCATGGGCGTTCAACAGCGGTGCGGCCAACGACAATCTCACGCGAGATGCCAACCAGACGATGCTGCAGCGGATCTGGCTGCGACCGGCGATCATGCGCGACGTCTCTGCAGTGACCACGCGCCGGACGTTGCTAGGCTGCCGCTTCACGGTGCCCATATACATCGCGCCGGTAGGCGCGGCCAAGAGTGTCTGGGTGGAGGGTGAACTTCCATTGGCACGGGCAGCGTATCAGGCCGGAATCGTGCAATGCATCGCTACCACCGCCTCCCATTCCCTCGCCGAGATTCTCGATGCGACCCCCGAGCAGGCATGGCTGCAGGTATACATCAACAGAGATCGGAGCAGAACGGAAGCGCAGATACGGCAGGCCACGGTCTCCGGGAAGGTCAAGGGGTTTCTGATTACGGCCGATCTCCCAGTCATGTCCAAGCGAGAGGCCGATGAGCGGCTCAAGCCCGACGGAGGCAGAGGGCTGGTAGTGAGTCTCAACCAGCAGCAGCCGCGTGGAGCCCCACCCATGAACGGGAATGCTGGCTTAGCGAAGTCGAATAGCTCGTTCATCGATTCTACCCTCAACTGGAAGGATATCCCCTGGCTTCGGAGCCTCACCGAACTGCCGCTGCTGATCAAAGGAGTTCAGCGGGCAGAGGATGCGCATCTGGCCCTGCGTTTCGGTCTCGACGGCATTGTGGTCAGTAACCATGGGGGCCGCGCCGCCGACACGGCGCCCCCCTCCATCTTGACCCTCCTTGAGATCCGCCGTGACTGCCCGGAGGCGTTCGAGAAGATGGTCGTTCTGGTCGACGGAGGGTTCCGACGAGGGTCTGATGTCGTCAAAGCCGTCTGTTTGGGAGCGTCAGCCGTCGGGCTGGGTCGACCTTTCACCTACGCCTTGACCTACGGGGAGCCGGGAGTGCTTCATGCCATCGAAGGTAGATAAACCTAGAGTCAGAACTAGTCGACGATGCTAACAGTCACGATGCACTTACAGTTCTGAAACAAGAAGTCGAGACGGCAATGCAGCTGGTAGGATTGACCGACCTGCAAGATGCCAGCCCTAGATACATCAACACCGCCGCCCTGGATCGCTTGTTGCCACCAAACAATAGTCTTCTCCCAGAAGAGCTAGCAGCTGACTGGGCGAGAGTAAAACTGTAATAGCACGGATCTATTCTACTTTTTTTTTGGTTTTTATTTTCTTTTTGGTTTTTCTGTATCAAGACATCACCTTCTCGGCAGCCAGGGTGGCGCGAAGCGCTCGCTGTAAGCATGGGAAGGCTGCCCCCGGCGAACTGTAGCTTTTGCATCCTTCCTCTTTACCCTCTGTCTACTCAGGCCAGAATACTTCTTCCTCCTCAGCTTACAGTTCTAATTGCCGAGAGCCATAGATGATCGGAAATGTAGCTTCCGATGCGGGACGGACGCTGTTCGGAACTGATGCGCCACCGCATCTCTTCCGATGGGGACGATGTAGCTTGCCAATGTAGCACTGCATTAGAAATAACGCTGAATGAATTATGGTTCTCTTCAGAGAGTACAGTGTCACAAATTCACTATTCCTACGGTTTTTCCATTTGAAAAATGTGAGACGTTGTACCGAACGATAAATGATAGCGAGCTAACCGAGCCGGGTCAGGAGCTACACTGCCGCCACCGCGTTTCTCGAGGCTCTGTGGGAGGTAGGGTCTATCTTACTAAAACCTGGAAAGAAAAAAAAAATAAAAAATAAAAAAAACAACAACAACAACAACAACAGTGACAGGTGTCTTACTAACTGCTTTTCTCCCGAGTCATAGGGCGGAGTCTCATATGTGTTCGTGAATCTGGGGTCGGATCACCCGGCCATCATGGAGGCGATCGTCTACGGGAAGAAGTTCAGGAAAGGTCAATTCCCTGAGATCATAACCTGTCCACATGAAGTACGACTGCCGTGGTTGTCCAAATGCGTGTGAGATCTCACTTACTGACTGAACTGGCCAGATGGTGGCTTTATCGATGGCCGATGGGTTCGCTCGACTAACCGGCAAGCCCCAGGCGGTCATCGTGCATGTCGATGTGGGAACTCAAGCTCTGGGCTGTGCAGTTCACAATGCCTCGGCCGCATACTGTCCGGTTCTTATTTTCGCGGGCCTTTCGCCTTGCACCATTGATGGTGAACTGCCCGGGTCTCGGACGGAGTATGTGCATTGGCTGCAGGATGCCAAGGAGCAACGCCAGATTGTCTCGCAATATTGTCGGTATACCGGGGAGATCCGCACGGGCAAGAATGTCAAGCAGATGGTAGGCCGGGCGATGCAGTTCGCAACGAGCGACCCGCCTGGACCGGTGTACCTGACGGCAGCGCGAGAGGTGCTGGAAGAAAAGATGGAGCCCTACACAATTGATCAGGCTCATTGGGGAGCCGTGTCGCCCACCGCGCTGCCGCAGAACGGGGTGGAGACGATTGCCACCCTCCTGGTCCACGCCCAGCGTCCTCTGATCATTGTCGGGCACTCGGGCAGAGATCATCAGGCATTGCCTGCGCTGGTTGACCTCGTTGACATGGTGCCTGGGGTGCGCGTCTTGGACTGCCTGGGGAGTGATGTGAGCTTCCCCTTCACCCACCCGGCTTCCTTGGGGTTGGGAATCGGAGGCCACGAAGTCATCCCCACGGCCGACTTGATCCTGGTCGTTCATGCGGCGGTCCCGTGGATTCCCGTTCTCTGTCGTCCCTCCCAGCAGGCCACGATCGTGCACATCGACATCGACCCCCTGAAGAACAACCTCAACCTGTGGTATATCAACGCTTCGAAGACCTACCGTGCAGATGCCGCCACGGCCTTTCGACAATTACACTCGTACATCGCGAGCACCGAAAGATTTACCCCGATCCTCGCATCGGCCGAGTATCTCAACCGTGGTGCAGCTACCAAGAACGCGCACCATGAGCGGCTGGCCGCCCTCGCCCTCGCAGCTGCAGACCTCGAGAACCCGCTAGCTCTCATCAACAGCCATTATCTCGGCCGCCGTCTGCGTGAGACACTACCGCAAGATACCATCTGGTGCCTCGAGACCGTCACCAATGCGATGCCCATCACCAATCAGCTGCAGGTGGACGCCCCGGGACATCTGGTCAACTGCGGCGCTGGCGGACTCGGCTGGTCGGGGGGCGCTACCCTGGGCGTCAAGCTGGCGTCCGATTACCTGGCGGGTGGGAATGGCAAGGGCAGGTTTGTGTGTGAGATTGTAGGGGATGGAACGTATATGTTTGGTGCTCCGGGGACAGTCTACTGGATCGCTCGCCGGTACAATCTGGCGACTCTCACCATCGTTCTCAGTAACAACGGTGAGTACAGGGGCGGTTGTTCCCGTTCATCATCTCTCAGGTGGCTAACATGTCGAGGTCAACTATCAACTAGGATGGAACGCTCCTCGCAACTCCCTGGAGCTGGTACACCCCACCGGGCTGGGATCGCAGGTGAACAATCTGGATCTCAACATCTCGTTCAGTCCCACCCCGGATTTTGCCGGCATCGCCAAAGCCGCAGCAGGCCACCAAGCTTGGGCCGGGGTTGCGGGCAATGCAGAACAGTTCGAACAGCTCTTGCCTCAGGCAGTGGAAAGCGTGATGAAGGGCGTTCTGGCGGTGTTGGAGGTCCGGTTAAGCAAGTCCTGGCAGGCTGCCGAGCTGGTGTCGCGGCTGTAGTTACAAATTACACTCGAACGATGTATGTACTGGTAAACACGTGCTTGCAATCTGTCTAAATAAATGTAAAGCCCCTAATCTGAACCTCCAACGTACGTTGGCGGGGGAGTGCCTGAACGGGGGGATGGCTATTTCAACCCCATTGCTCCCCAGCGTGACAAGACGCGCTCCTGCACAACCTTAGGATAAGCATGCTGAAAGTCAACCTTGTGCCAATTACGACCGCCGGCCTTGAACTCCGACTCGAGGAGACAATTAGTCACGGTTTTGCCCCCGCGACAAGGGCGTGGACTGCCATGCATCGAGGGCACGAGGGGCAAGCCAGGCACATCGTCGAACCCGTAATCGTCCTGACCGGGGCGTGAGCGACAAGCCACTGCCCACATTGTCTGCTGGAAATCGTAGATGTTAATGTCATCTCCGACCAGGAACAGTCGCGAGGCAAGCCACGCGCGTTTATCCTGGAACACCGTCCGCCCGATGGACCTGCATAGCTGCTGCGCGTTGGTCCCCATGGACTGGAGTCGCTCCGAGTTCACTTGGAGGAAGACCCAGGTCGCGTTGGTCTCCAGCGGGGCAAATGCATCGGAGATTGGGAACTCATGTTCCAGGCAGATATTGAGAATTTCTGGCACCATCAAGGCAGCTAGAGTATGCTGGAGAGCTGTCAAGTCAGGCAATGCTACTCCTTTTGCGAATGCATGCAGGCAAGCGACTCACCGATTCGTCCGTTATGACCCCAGGCACCGATACAGGTAGAATAGCATTGTCCCGGTGGGTAATGGCGTTGACATGGTATATTGGCATCGGTCTGCTCTCGCCCTCGAAGCCATGGCCAAAGTATTCGCCAAAGGGACCCTCCAGGGCTGTCTTGGTGTTGGACAATGTTCCCTCGAAGACAATCTCACAGCTTGCTGGGACCAGAAGGTCGTTGGTCTCACAGCGCACGAGACCCATCGGGGAACCGGTGATGGAATTGACATAATCCAACTCGGAGGCGCCATCAGGGATGGGCAAACCCGCGGCGATGATCGCGGCCGGGGGAACTCCCAGAGCCAGAGCCCAAGGAACCTCCGCATGTCCCTGTTTCCTCCACATTTCCTTGATCTGCCAGTTATGCTGCGGAGGAATACAGAGGCCGACCAGCTGGTTCCGGTCATGGATCATGGCGCGCGCGATGGACCAGTTGGTCCACGACCCGTCGGGCGACTGAAGGATATGCATTCCATAGGTCTGCACATACCTCCCGCCGTCCCCCTGGTGCAGGAGAGGGGCAGGGAGTTGCATCAGATCGATATCATCCCCAAAGACTTTGTTTTCCTTGCATGGACCGCTCGAGAGCACGGGAGACGAGGTGGTGGTTGATGGGAGCAATCGCGCCGCTTGGAGGAGCTTGGTGTTGATCTCGCGCCAACCCGCACTCGGTGGTAGCCCTATGCCTCGGGCGATGCGTCCCAGTCTCTCTGCCGGGGACTGACGCAGGCTCTGGAGATTTGATGTCATCCTCCACAGTCCGTTGCGGGCGCCTTTGACCTGATGGAATAATGGCACCTGGGCGTTCCGTTCGCTCACACGTCGAGCAATTGCCCCGACCTCGAGATGAGGATCGACTTCTTGGTAGACATCCACCAGATCGCCGTCCGCGCGTAGGGTGTCGAGAAACGAGCGGAGATCCGGGGCAGTGCCGTGGGGTGTGGCCTGGTGAACGTAGTGGCGATGACTACCATGTGCGGACGTCCATCGGCCATGAGTAGCTGGTATTCTCAACATCGTGTGGGGAGTCCGGCGAGTATTGGCTTAGACGAAATGATGCACCCTCGTCACCCGACTGGTAAAGTACCCCGGTATATCTTACTACGTTACTGTGATTACTTAGTATGCTGGTATATCCACTCATCGGAAGCTTTCCGATGGAATGTGAACGGCCCTTGACCGAATCACCGGTCCTATAGTGCACTCCGCCGCCCCGCCCCCCCCAGCCTTTAAGTGACCATGTCTGTACGGTACTTTACACGTATATAATGGTGATGGCAAGCTATGGGTTCCCCTGCGAGGCAATTCTGACTGCTCGCCATGCTACACCTCCCCTTCCAGGCCATGTCTCGGTCGCGCGCCTTCTGCTCTCCCTGGTCCAGCCCGTTTCTCAGACGGGTTGCAACTCCTACATGGAAACAGCATACAAGGGCTGTGCATTCTCCATCCGTGGCCACCAAGACCAAACGCATTGTGGTCGGGATCACCGGCGCAACGGGCACAGTCTTCGCCATCCGTCTCCTCGAACAACTCAAGCAACTAGGAATCGAGACGCATCTCATCCTGAGCAAATGGGCGTCCGTCACAATGAAGTACGAAACCGAGGTCCCCGAAGCGCATCTTCGCTCCCTCGCGACCTACAACTACTCCGCCCGGGACCTGGCCGCTCCGATCTCCAGCGGCTCCTTTCTGCACGACGGCATGATCGTTGTACCCTGTAGTGTGAAGACCTTGGCAGCCGTGCGGACGGGCTATTGCGAAGATCTGATCGCTCGCGCGGCGGACGTCAGTTTGAAGGAAGGCCGGAAACTGATGCTGGTGGTACGCGAAACCCCGTTGAGCGAGATTCACCTAGAGAACATGCTGGCCTTACGACGGGCGGGCGCCGTGATCTTCCCTCCCGTGCCTGCCTTCTATACCAAGCCCCAGGGGTTGGAGGATCTTGTAGATCAGAGTGTGATGAGAATGTTGGACAGTTTCGGGATCACTCTGGAGACATCTCCACGGTGGAATGGGTTGCGGAGAGACCCGTGAGCGCTATGGCAGGCTCTGGAGCATTTGGTGTACATAGCCTACTAGCGGTTCCATAGAGATGATAGACCTTAGACCTGGTGTGATGATCCCCTAGCTTCTGTTCACCCACTGTATACGTTGGGTGAGGGTTGCAAAGGCATTAGCCCTGCTCCCTTGCTTGTCATGCATCAATTCCGACCCCCCTTTCCGCAATTCCGATCCCCCTCCCCGCCCGGACCGGAGGCTATTCCGATATGTACTGTATATGTAAAGTAGATCGAAATAGACAGATAGAAAGTTTCAGAACTTGTGCCACAGGACTAGAGACAGGCGGTGTTCCAAAATCCGCCATGGCAGCCGTTCTTCTCCGTGATATCCGTCCGCTCTTCGGGCTCCAAGGTCGCAAGTACATCGTCACGGGCGGTGCGCAAGGCATTGGCTTCGCGGTGGTTCGTGCAATCGCAGAACATGGGGGAAGTGTAGCTGTCCTCGACATACGAGACACCCCGGATGATGAGTTTGAGACTCTTCAAGCTCGCTTTGGCGTCCAGACAGTCTACATCCCGACCGATGTCTCCAGTGAAGATAGTCTCGTCGCAGGCTTCAACATAGCCGTGGAAATCCTCGGGACCATTGACGGGGCCTTTACCAGTGCTGGAATTGCTATCGAAAAACCTTTCATTGAACAGACATGGAAGGAGGTATCGAGAATCCAAGAAATCAATGTATGTGTGTCTGTGTCCAGACTTGCCTCCGACTGGTCTCCATCTCTCTAAAGTCATCCTTCAGGTTCTCGGCACCTTTTTCACCACCCAGTTAGTTGTCAAGCAATTGCTCAGACAGGGGACACCGGGAAGCATTGTACATGTCGCCTCGATCACCGCCCACACCGTGCTCCCCAAGCACCGAATGGCCGGATACAATGCTTCCAAGGGAGCCGTGCGCATGCTCACCGAGGCCCTTGGGGTAGAGCTGGCGCCGCATGGCATCCGAGTGAACTCCATCTCCCCGGGCTTGATCGACTCGGAGCAGTTGCGCGCGGTTCGCACCCAGAAAAGCCGGGAGGACTCTCGCATTTATGACGAAGGACCGCCGCTGGGGCGCATTGGCAATTTCAACGATCTGACCGGCGCAGTCGTCTACCTCCTCAGTGATGCGTCCGCCTATACTACTGCCAGTGACATTGCCATCACGGGAGGGCTGCATGTGGGGAGGATAGATGTTTAAAGGGACCAGGGCCACTCCTGGCTGGCTCTCAATGTCATTTGCTTAGCAGAAGGAGAAGACGGAGCCGGAAGAACTTTGCAGCATAGCTTGGATCAAACCATGAAGACATAATTCAAGGAATAAATCATTTGGGGCTTGACCACCAGACAACCAACCTCAACAAAGAGTTCAACAGACACCACTGCAAGAACGAACCACCTGCTTGCCACCCTTCTTTTTTCCCATACACCCATCTTCAGCCGTAGCTTCTCGCAATATTGTGGGAACTAAACATGGGTGGAAACTGCATTTGGGGGACGAATGTATTTTTCTTGACCAAGTATGGGTCACCATTGGCCGCGTCCGAGGTCAACTGGCGGAACAGGTGTATTCTAGCGCCGCGGTACAGCCTCTGTTCGGCCAGCTGGCCAACATCTTCAGCCGCCGATGGATCACTCTTGTGATTATCTCTTTGTTTACCCTTATAAGCGGGACGGGAACTGTGGTGGAGCTCAAGCCTCGGACAGAGCTCGAGACAGGGTATGGGTTGGAGGAGAAGGAACAGAAACAGGTAGATGTTGAGCATAGGCCTCAAAAAAGACTGTAAAAACCAAGAGCTGGACTGCACCAGACCAGACTGTATTAATCTTTAGTTCTAAATTCGAAAACTACCAGATAGTTTTAGATTAATAAAAACTATACTACTATGGTTCAGTATAGTTTTATAGTTTTATAAATAAAATAAATAGTTTTATATTTATAATATATATAAGTTATATATAGCTAGTTTTTATTTTTTATATTCTAGTTTTAGTAGTTTATCTTTTATATTATCTAACTAAGAACTTTTCTGATTAAACTGATTAAACTGATTAAACTTCTGAATAGAACTCCAGGGGTCTTTTTATTTTTATTTATAGCCAATTAGCTATTAAAAACACATAAAAAATATATAAATTTATATAAAATTTATATAAAAATTATATAAATAGAACAGGGCTAAGAATAATAAAACCAGTAGTTAAATAGGGCCTAGAATAATTAATAAAAGTAAGGCCTTTTACTCTACTGTAAAATAGATAGAATTTAGAATATTAGTTTATTAACTGGTAGTCTAAGGTAGCTAACTAGTAGTTTAAAACTACCAACTAGTCTAAAACTATAAACTAGTAAATTTAAAATATATATTTAGTAGCAGACAGAGCTTAAAGTAGTAGATAAATAAAAATAGTAGATAAGTAGATTTTAAAATAATATCTAGTAGTAGTAGTAAACTAGTAAGTCTAAATCTGTAAACTGGCAAGCCTAAGGCTGCCAACTGGCCAATCTACCCATATTATTAACAAAAATTTTTATATATAAGAACTTTCTGAGGTTTCTTAGAAGGACTTTATTAATCTCTCACTTTTGCATACAAATTAGGTGCGAAAGTAAGGTGAAAGTGAGGTAAAAGTAAAAAAAAGATAATATTAATAATATAGGCAGATTAGCCAGTTGGCAGCCTTAGGCTTACCAGTTTATAGACTTGGACTTACTAGTTTACTACTACTATTAAATACTACTTTAGAATCTACTTATCTGTTATTTTTATTTATCTACTACTTTAAGCCCTATCTGCTACTAAATATATACTTTAAATTTACTAGTTTACAGCTTTAAACTAGTTAGTAGTTTTAAACTATTAATTAGCTACTTTAAACTATTAGTTAATAAACTAATATTCTAAATTTTATCTACTCTACAGAAGAGTAAAAGGCTTTACTTTTATTAATTATTCTAGGCCCTATTTAACTACTGATTTTATTATTTTTAGCCCTGTTTTATTTATATAAATTTTATATATAAATTTATATATTTTTTAAATATTTCTAATAGCTAATTGGCTATAAATAAAAATAAAAAGACCCCTGGAGTTCTATTCAGAAGTTTAATCAGTTTAATCAGTTTAATCAGTTTAATTAGTTTAATCAGAAAAGTTCTTATATAGTATATATAAGCAGTATATACAGTTAATAAAACTAGATAAATATTTTTTTTTACTAAAGCTTCTAAAAATATAATATTTTTAAAATAAGTTTTTACTAGTCTATTATATAATATTTTAATTTTTTAGGGTTTTAATAGAATATTGCAGTAATTCTGGCAGTACTAACTAATAAACTAGACTATATATATAAATTAACTAGTATAGAGATTATAGATTTTTAGCTATAAAAAATTAAAAATAATTAAATAGTAGACAAAACAGATAATTAAAAAAAATATATTTTTTTTAATATAGTTTTAGATTTTTAGAATTATTTAAATATAGTAGGTAATACAGCCCAACTTTTTTTATTAGCTGTTAAATTCTATAATTATTTTATAAATTTTTAAAGGGTATAATAGTAACTGGTAGACTTTAATCCAGCTTTTATTTATTACTTTTAAAATAAAATATCTAATATTAATTATAATATAAATTAGGACTTAAGAACTTTTCTGAGGTTTCTCAGAAAGACTTCATTAAACTCTCACTTTCACATACAAATTGGGTGCGAAAGTGAGGTGAAAGTGAGAGAAAATTAAAAGAATCAAAATTAGATAAATAAAAAAATAGGCTAACTGCTAGAATTAATTGGAAAAACTGATTAAAACTAATTAAAGCTGATTAAACTAAAACTAAAACTAATTAAACTAATTATTTTTTTAAATAGAACTCTAGGGGTCTTTTTATTTTTATTTATAGCTAATTAGCTATTAAAAATATATAACAAATATATAAATTTATATAAAATTTATATACATTATATAAATAGAATAGGGCTGAAAATGATAGAACCAGTGGTTGAATAGGGCCTAAAATAATTAATAAAAGTAAAGCCTTTTACTCTGCTGTAGAGTAGATAGAACTTAAAATATTAATTTATTAATTAGTAGTTTAAAGTATTCTACTAGTAGTCTAAAACTGCCAACTGGTTTAAAGCTGTAAACTAGCAAGTTTAAAATATATTTTTAGTAGCAGGCAGGGCTTAAAGTAGCAGGTAAATAGAAATAGCAGGCAAGCAGACCCTAAGATAGTACCTGGCAGTAGTAGTAAACTAGTAAGCCTAAGATTATAAACTGGCAAGCCTAAGGCTGCCAACTGGCCAATCTGCCTATATTCTTAATACACCCCTGCAGTTTTAATAAAATAAAATATCAGAAAAAACTGGAGTAAAGAAATTGCTAAAACAGAAAGTAACTAAATAATTAAGAAATAATAGGATTTAATAAATTACTATATTTAGCTGTTTAATAAATTTAGTATATTTTTAACTAAAAAACTACTTAGTTAGGCTATTTACTTATATTTTATTAGTAGATATTTAATAAATATTAATAGTTTTATTTAGGGCTTTTTATCTAAGTTAATAATTAGCAACATTAATATATTTTAGGCTAGTCTAAAAGAGGAAATTTTTATTAGTAAAAATTTTAACTGTTTAATAATTGTTATATAATATAAAGAAGTATTAATTAGGGCTAAATCCTATTTAATTAAAAAATTTTTTCTACTAAAAAAGTTGCTTAGCTGCAGCAGTTAGGGCTAACAATTCAGCTTTAGTAGTTAAAAAAATTATATAATACTATTTTTTACTTAGCTAATTAATAGAACTATTAAATAAGTAAATAATATATTTTATTAAGCTAGTATAATTTTAATTATCAGCAAAACTAGTATTACTAGCTATATAAAATAAAATAGGGCTAGGACTAAATTTAATAGCCAAGTTCTTTATTTTTTTTAAATAAAAGATTAAATAATCTACAGTTTTAAGGTGTTTAAGACTTGGATTAGTTAGATATTTTAAAATTAACTGGTATAATTTAGTAATATTAGATCTAGTCCAGACTATAGAATATAAAGCTAACTCTACTTTCTACTAAAATTTATAAATTTACTTAGCTGTAGCCTAGTGGAGTAGATCCTTTACTAATTTTTTATTTAAAAGTAGAGATTTAGGGCTTTTTCTTTGCCCTTAATTAAACTTATTAATAATTTTATTAATATAGTTTAATTATTAAATCTACAACTTTCTATTTAGGTAATTATATAAAATTTAAATATTAAAAAATAAATTGGCCTCTTTAAGGTCCTTAAATTTAAATAATATTATTAATTTTTTCTTAAATTTATTAAATTTTTAATAATTTAATTTATGGAATATATAAATTATATTATCTATAAAAATTATTAAAATAATAAATTTATTAATAAAAATATATTAATTTTTCTAAATAGGCTTAAGTCCTAGGGCTATTAGCCTTTGTTTTAGGGTATTTTACTAAAAAAATAGTAAATATTTTAATCTATATAAGATTTTCTTAATAAAAAAACTATTTATTTATTTTCTAATCTAGGAATTAGACCTATATAGATTTTTTTTTAATAAGACTATTAAAAAAGGCAGTAATTATATTCAGTTGGTTAGTTTCCAGATTAAATATAGTAATTAAAACTAAAAAAATCTGTATAGATCTAGTTATAAAGGTACTAATATATATTTTTAACTAATTAAGTATCTGTAAATTACTTCTAATATAAATTTAAATTTTAAAACCAGTTAAATAATTAGTTTTATTAAATTTATATAAAAATACCTATTTTAATAGTAATACTTTAGCTCTATTAATTTTATAAATTAAATATATATTTTATATATTTAGGGCTTTTAATTAACTAATTTTAGTTTTAGTAGCCTAAATAAATTAGCTTAAAAATATATAATTTCTTATTTCTTACTAGTTGGTAGGCGGAGGTGGAACTAATAAAAAATTAATATAAAAAATTTTACTTTTATTAATATAATTAACTATTATTTAAATAACTTGCAGGGTAAGTCTAGTTCTTTTAGAATTAAAATCAGATGATTCTAAGCGGGTCTGTTTTAGGCCTTTAATTAGTTTAATATTTAAAAACTTAGTTTTACTAATCAGCTTATTAATATTTAAATTATTAATAAGAACCTGAGGCGGTAAAGAAGATGGGGTAA